ACTGATAAAGCCATGATCAGTTGAGGGGGAGAACACCAGAGTGTTACTTAAAGAGATGTGACATATGTAGAAATAACTACCAGATGATTAACAGAATGAGCCAACAGTGAGAACTAACTATGAGGACTCTGAGTGGCTTGAGCTAGAAACCAGCTGCATGACTGAACACATCATAAGTCTTCTGCTGTGTGTAAACTCTGATATGTTAACAGGTTGTTTTAGCCAAAAATTTGCCAAAGGGGGAGTTTGTAAGTGCTCTTGATTGACTGCATTTTATGGCAAAACTTTAGAGTGTGCATGTATGTCATACTTGAAAATTCTGGCCAGCCCACGATGGATATTCTAACAGAAGTTATAACATCCACTGTGACATTCACTACAGACCTATTATTATGCAGTAATTATAAAGCAGTAAATGACACAGTTGGTTATTGACCCAGTTCAGTGTAACACACTTACATCTGAGGGCTACCAAGCCAGGGAGAAATTTCATTATCAGTAGAATTAATTTAGAGTCAAACCTCCAGTTTGCACTCCTCACTTAAAACCTACCCAATGACAATTTAACCTAGAGACACTTTAGACCTGAGTATACCCTCTCACTCCCTACAATCACACACAAGTGATATCAACCAGTTACTAATTAAATAGTAGAATGAAGAGACACTTCAGCTACACACAGACCTTGATCTTGCTTCAAAGCTTTGATCAAGTGACACACACTCTTGCTTACCAGCTTTGAGTGGTACACAACCTAGAAACTACCTAACCAATGCAATCAACAGTTGCTTGGATTACAAGTGTTCCTAAGACACAATCGTGAAGAACAACCTCTTCACTTCTAAACCACTATGGTGATTTCTCTGCTTCTTTATCTCCAATAGCTGCCTTCTAGGATTGCTTCTCATGTTATTTATAGCAGCAGATCAGTCCTTGGGCATGGGCGCATACATTAGGTTTTATCCATCATAAAACCTCTCTTTAGTATTTTGCACGTTTGCCATTTTAATCAGGTACATATTAGTTCCCCTAGGGCGTTTAAAATGTCTCCTGCATTCCAGCTTGAGCTTCTGAGTTGTTTCCCGAGTTCTAGCTACCAGAATAACAAACTTTTGCTTGATGTCATACGACCTATGTCATAACATTGAGTATGACATCCAGCTTAACTTATAGTTAGCTTAGTTAACTTACTCTGCACAGTCTATATTATGACTGTAACAACATCAGACATGACATTCATACATATACTAATATTTTACCACAAAATGCAGCCAATCAAGAGCACTTACAAACTCCCTCTTTAGCAACTTTTTGGCTAAAACACTCTGTACTTACATCAGAGATTTCCACACAGCAGAAGACTTAACATAGGTCCTGTCATGCAGGTAAGTAACTTGCTGCTCAAGCTCTCAGAATCCTCACAATTGGCTTTCATCCCTGTTAACACTCACTTTGTTAACTCTCTGTAGACTTCTACTACAGATGTCACCCTTTGCTAGTTGAGTGACAGAGTTACTCCCCCTAAACTGATGCATATCAGTTGTACATTTCACCTGCAAACAGCCTGCAGTTACATATATTCCTTCAGCCTGCTCTGGATGTTATTACATTCAGTATAACATCCTGTCACACAGTTGTGCAACTCCCCCTGAAGGAATACACTATGCTAAGTTGTGCAACTCCCCCTGAAGGGATGCATTCTGCTCCTTGCAGACATACACAGAACTCCTAAGCATCTTGTTAGGATCACCCATGTTAGTACCTATAGCATGTCAGTCCTAGTTCTAACATACATGGCATACATATCATATCAGTAACAGCCCAAACAACTGTTATCACACACACACACACACATCTCATTAGCAGCACCTGTAGTTACACTAATATCATAAGCACTATGGTGCATATGCTCAAGTACAGTTCATGACTGTCTTGTTCTTCCACCTGCTGTTACTACCATTACCACATAACTTGTGGTACTCATATTGGTTATCCACCAATTCTTCCATTTGCTGTACCTGCTCATGTTTTCATCTAACACTTTCTCCCCCTTTTTAGACATAAATTGAGATCCAACTAACACATAGCATAGACCATAAATTGTACCAATACCTAAGTATAGGGTTACATTACAAAACTGCTCATCGAGAGCCCTACAAATTCAAGCAGTGCAATTCTTGCTGTCAAATAGGTCTGCCTAGCATAATTCAAAACATAATACAACAGTTCAATCAGCACGAGCTTTACAACATTTTATCAGCACATGTCATCCTTCTTCTTCAGATGCAGAACTGGACATGCCTTTGTCAGATTCTCCATCACTAGGCTCCTCAGCCTCAGGGGATTCATCTGCATCACTGTTCTCTCTTTCTTCCTCTGAGTCAACTTCCTGATAGTCACTCTCTTCTGCACCATCGTTTTGCCTGTCCTCATCAGTGAACTCAGCCTTGTCACTTTGCTCAAGGGCCCTGATTAGTGCTTCAAGAGTTCTTTTCCTCGCATCCATCTCTTGACATGTTTCTTTTAGCTTGATAATCACTTCAGCTTTTGTTGATGTGGACTGTGATGTCTCAGATGATGTTGCAACAAGGTCAGGGACATGGTTGCCAAGAAATAGCTTGGGGTGAAATGACAAGGGGTTTTCTCGTTTGCTCGCAACATCAGTCCTTTTGAGAATGTTGGGAAACTTTTTCAAAATGATGCCACATATGAGGGAAGGGAATGCAATGGGACCCTTGATGCTATAGCTGCCCGCATGCTTCATAGTTTGATCAAACACATATGTTCCAAAATCAAATTTGGCCTTGGTCCCAATAACATAGATGATTTTACCAAGTCCAGTTGCCACACTAGCTTTATGGTTCGTGGGCACCCAATTTGCTGCTCCAATCTTATGCAACATAGCATATTTGATACTCAATTTACTGGTCACTAGCTTTCTTTTGGATGGCCATCTTTGTACCTGGTTGCCTGTTATCACTTGGCATATTGTGTTTTCTGAACCATTTATATCAGGACGAGCTCTATCTGATCTTCCCAGATATTTATTGATTGTTGATGGAGTGAAACCAACACATTCCCCTCTTACATGCACTTTGCCAAACTCTTTAGATTTTCTGTCAGCATATTCCTCTGAGAGATTAACTATGAATTCCTTGACAAGTAGCTCATAGCATGAAGAGAAGTCACTAACTATTTTCATTAGTCCTGCATCATTAATGAGTCTCATGATTTCTTTACTTTCCAGCACATTTTGTCCCAGCTCCCTTTCCACTGCCAGCCTTTTCTGAACCACATACTTCCACCTATTGACACACGAGGGGTAATGAAATGAAATATTGTCAATTGGGACTTCAGGGACCTGTTCAGCCAGTTTGCTCTTGGAGGGTTTCTTCTTGTTTTGAATGTCAGTGACATCTTCAGCAACATCAGACTCAGTCTTTGATTCAGTACTAGAGTCATCCTTTCTTTCTTGGTGACCACTTTGCTCCAGGCTTTGGGAGGTCCAATTGGTCTTCTTTTAGTCTTAGCCTTCCTTGAGGGTGTGTCATGTTCAACTGTCTTCTTCTCTGTGAGGTTGTCTTGCTCAAAAGCCTGTTCAACTGCCTTTTTCTTGGGGAGAACTTGTTCAACCATCTTCTTATCTTTCCTTGTCATAAGCCTTTTAGCTATGCCTGGATTGAGGTTTGCAATTAACTCGTTATCAGAGTATTCATCAAGGTCCACCAACTCAGCTTTCTTGGTGTCTTGTACTTCATCACTTTCACCATTTGAGCCTATACCCTTGTTTTTCTTTTCTAAAGTATGATCTTTCAAGATTCCAGCATTGGGCATAACATCCCTTTAATCATGCACAGTTGGCCCAGACCCCTCATTGCTGGTTGAAATAGGGATGTTCAGAGCCCTAGCTACCATGCCAGCAATTGATGTTGTGCGTGGTCTTGGCTCCATCATCATTACGTGTCTCAATTAAAAAATTAAAAGTTCACGTGTGTGTGTGTGTCTATATATATATATATATATATATATATATATATATATATATATATATATATATATATATATATATATATATATATATATATATATTCAAATTAACGGTACTTTTAACTTTATAAAAAATATAACTTTAGAAAATTTCTAATACAGATTCAAAATTCTCGATAAAATTAAGTATATTTCAAATATTTAATATTTAATAATAAATACAACAGTAAAATTGCTCTAAGTTAAATGTTCGTGAAAAACAGAAAATTTTACCTCATACCCCTACTTTTATCATGATACCTTTACATTTTATATAAAATATCAATTTTACCCTTATATATTTTAAACTAATTTATTATTTTATTTTTTAAATATTTTTAAAATTTTATTTTACGTACAGGAAGACTTTGCAAAAGAGTTCCAGTACACAAAATAAAAGTTAAAAAATATTTTAAAAAATGATTACTGGAACTCTTTTGCAAAGTCTTCCGGTAAACAAAAATTGACTACCGAAACTCTTTTTCAAAGTCTTCCGGTACATAAAATAAAAGTTAAAAAATATTTTTAAAAATGACTACCAAAACTATTTTGCAAAGTCTTTCGGTACACAAAAATTGACTACTAAAACTCTTTTAAAAATTTTTCTAATACGCAAAATAAATTTTAAATATAAAATGATAAATTAGCTAAAATTATACAAGGACAAATTTGATATTTTTTATAAAATGTAAGGGTATAAAGATATAAATAAGAGTACGAGGTAAAATTTTCTACATCCGATAACGCAATGGCCCAGAAGTTCTAAGTAGAGCGTTTGCAAGGCCCAACTAATTCAACCAATTATATACAAGAAATGCTTACGTGTCACCCTCCCAGTGGTCCACACGACGCGAACAGAATTCCTGTATAAAAGGACAATTCCTACATCACACAACAACTCATTTCTCGCGTCACACACTCACCGAGTCAGTCTAGCACCGAAGAGTGAGATCACATAACAAATCAACTAACCGATGGCAAAAACGACGTCGTTGCTTGTCTGTGCACTCTGCCTCTTTGCTACTCTATCTCTTATCCAGGTCTTTTCTCACTCCTTCCATTTCCCTATACAAATTTCAAATTCCATTTTTCTTTATCTTGATCTGATTTCAGTTTGGGAATTAGTTCACAATTAGCTTCAGATCGGCACTTTTTTCCTCAGAATTATGATATATTAAATAGAATTTAGTTCTAGTGATAGAACTGGTTTGGTTTGCAATTTTGCAGTTGTGTTTGTTGAAAATGTGATTTTAATTTTTTTTTTGAATTAATTGCAGGCAAAGAAACCGAAGGAGGATTTGAAGGAAGTGACTCAGAAGGTTTTCTTTGATGTCGAGATTGATGGAAAGGCTGCAGGTTTTTAACCTTGTGCCTTTTATTCACTTTTGTCTTTGATTTTCTTTATATGGTTTCAAATTAATTTGAGATGAAACATAAATTGATAAGATCATAATCATTATTGTCTTGCCATTAGCCATTACCATTGGCGAAATATCAAACTTATTTACATTTTGGTGAAGTATAAGTTGTTAAGTGGTTAATAATTGTTAAATTTTGGTTAATTAAATTTCATATTATGTTAAGGCTATGTTTGGATATTGTAAAACGAACGGAGCAGAAGTGAATGGAATATAACGAAGCTGGGAATAAATGTCATTACATTGTTTGGGTATTTCATGATGGAATAGAGCTAATGACATTTGTCATTCCCCTCAGATCGGAGAGTACAAAAAATAATGATGGAAAGTGATGATATGGGATGAAATACATTCCATAATATTAGGCTCAATTCCATCCTTGTTTAATTAATCCAAACAATGGAACCTAAGTATATACCATTCCATCTTATTCCATTTCATTCCATCAATCCAAACACAACCTAATTGAAGTGATTTATGGTGAGATGAAATTATTCTTCTAGAAAAGGGAAAATGAGAGAAAGTTCAAGAGTGTAGATGAGATCAGTGTTGTCCATGGCGGTTGACGTAGAGCCAAAATTCCACCATACTTTGCGGCACTATTATAGTGGATTATGGCGAAAAACCTGCAATATTGGCCAATAATTACCATTGTGGTTAGCCCAAAAACCGCCACGTATATCCGCTATAGCACTAACACTGGATGAGATGCAAGAAGGTGATAAGTGAGAGAAAAATCTAAGGGAGAACTGACAGAATATAATCTTTTGTTTCTTAATTGTATTTTAGTTGATTCACATATAAATTAAGGAGGATATTTGTAGAGGCAGTTACAAACCTGCAGCTGCCTTGGTTGTTGCACTAACTGAATTCTTTAATTTTTTATATATGTAAGTTTGGTAGGTGTTTCTTTAGAAGAACTTATCTCCATAGGGGCCTAATCTTTCATACCAGCATTTTTTTTCCTTTTCAATATGTGGTATATAATTGGTGCTGAAGCCATGATCCTTGACTTTCCAGGTCGTATTGTAATTGGACTTTTTGGGAAGGCAGTTCCAAAAACTGCAGGTTAGGTTTTAAAATTCTCTGTATATTGGTGCTTACAATACATCATTAACTTTATCTAAAGCTTTGTTTTGATATTCCTCTTTGCAGAAAACTTCCGAGCTCTTTGCACAGGTGAGCTTGTTTCTGCTGCTGTTGTGTATTGTATTTATCATATTAATCAAATAACTTGTTTAAATCCTTTTTCTATGTGCTTCATCTTAAGCAGTAATACTTAAATGAATTACTAAAAAATTTACGTTATAAAAATTGATGAATATAAGCTGTTGGCCCAAAACCTGATAGGCCTACTTATGAGTACAAATTGAGGATAGCTTGTTTTCACTGATGTTTAAGTAAATAGCATTTTCTCCTCCCTTAAGTACGTTGAATATATTGAAATCACTTTTTGAGCTTATGAGGTGTTTGGGTTCATCTTACAAATTGAAATACATTATATACATATTTACTTTTATTCGGTTAAATTATTAGGGGAAAAGGGAGTTGGTAAAAGTGGAAAGCCTCTTCATTACAAAGGTAGCTCATTCCATAGGATTATACCTAGCTTTATGATCCAAGGAGGTGATTTTACACACGGCAATGGTATGGGCGGAGAATCAATTTACGGAGAGAAGTTTGCCGATGAGAACTTCAAGCTAAAGCATACCGGACCAGGTAATTTTATCACATTTTTCTCTTTGTTGTTTTAGATGTTTACTAATTATAAATAAACTCAAATGAATATGTGATGGGCTGATTTTCGTTTTTCATTTTCTATGCGAACAGGATTTTTATCAATGGCAAATGCTGGTCCTGATACCAATGGTTCACAATTTTTCATTACAACTGTGACAACTAGCTGGTAATTATATTCCTGTTCTCTTTATTTACATGTTATGTTCTACAACATAGAGTCTCCTCTTTCCAATTTAGTAAGGCATAACTGTGCCTGATAACTTCGTTTTTCCATAATCATGACATGACATACATCAATCTGTGAAGATCCGTATTTCCTCTAACCGTTATTCAGATTGCGTTGCCCGACTTAAGCTATAATCACGTGTGATTTATTTTGCATTTTTGCTTATAATGTACCTATCTATTTGATTTGACAGGTTGGATGGAAGGCATGTTGTTTTTGGAAAGGTGCTTTCAGGAATGGATGTTGTTTACAAGGTCGAAGCCGAAGGAAGTCAAAGTGGAACTCCCAAGAGCAAGGTTGTGATCGCTGACAGCGGTGAACTACCTCTGTAAATGCATCCATCCTTGTTGAAGATGTTGCAGTTTTCATTTCCAGTCCACCTACCGGACTACTTATCTTTTATTAGCATGTACCGTTACTAGAAGATGAAATTTCGTCTTAATGATAAGAGAAGAAAATGGCATTTGTGAACATGGATTTGTAGAAAGAAATCCAAATGAAGTGGTAGTCAAGTTTATTCAGCAGCTCTAAAAATGGAGGATGTTGGGCTTAAAAACCATCGACACTGGCTCAATTTATAGTGTGGATTTGTTGCCATTTGGCCTTTCTGAGTTTTTGAGTTCACTTATTTCAGGAAGACGTTTTATTTGCAATAAGATATAAATTTAAAATCCAACTTTTATTTTAAAATTGAATTAAATCCTCCTTGAACCATAATAAAAGTTCATTTGAATTGAATTGAACAGAACTATAGTAATAGATATAGTGATCCTTACGAACATGTTGTCTCCATTAGTACGGAGATGGTCATCATAGAAGCACCAAACTCCCTATAGTATATGTTGTTGTCATGCACCTTCAGGGAAGTCACCATTTGATAGCACATCTTTCTTCAATCCCTATAGTATATGTTGTTGTCATGCACCTTCAGGGAAGTCACCATTTGATAGCACATCTTTCTTCTATTGAAGATCTTTTTGATCCGTATCTATAAACAACCACCTTCTCCTTGAGAGCCTTCAAAATATTGGCCCGATCATCTTTATTCTGCTTAAGATTTTTCCGCTTTGCTTCAAACGCCTGACACGCTTCAACCGCATCATCAAAAACCTTTGTACGTTGTTTCTCTCCATTAGCAAGGAGGCTTTTGACTTCTCTATTTGAGAAATGGACGGTCTACCGTATCGATCCACCTCTTTTTACAAAGAGCTAAGAGAAATTCCTTCTCAGCATCAGAATTTGGCTGCTCAAGAGCTTCACACCTCTCCCTTAGCTTATCTTGTTCTTGAAAGCTCGCCAGAACTCAACATCGTTTTGGCCAACAACCACAGTAGAAACAATGGACCCAGACCTAAATAAAGTATAAGAAATATCTGCAAAAAGGTCTTGCCAGTCAGTCGCAGACAAACCTCGAATTAAATCTAGGTCTTCAGCAGACACAGTAGCAGCAAACTCCTTTAGGGTGTTAGGTACCCGGGAAGGAAGAATAGCAGGAAGTCGGAAGAAAGGAGTTAGAGCATCCTGTTTTCCACCTTCCTCTAAGCGAGCCCATTTAGGAGAACCTCATTTAATAGAAGTAAACGAACTTTCACCTCGACCCCTCTTGGAAAGGGAAGGAAAAGGTGAAGGTCCCCGAACAGATAAATCATTTGCAATGGTAGCCAACTAACCTATTTCACGATTCAGAATCAGAACAATAATTTTGACTACCACCAGAACAAAAGGAATCTGAGCCTCCAAAACAGAAGTAGAAGAAACAACAGGTGTTGCCGACACCAGGACAAACAAGTCAATCGTAAGGCCTTGATTATTTGCGAGCATCAGAGCTTTTTGCAGTTGACTCAACTTATTCATGTTATTTACAAACACATAAGTCACATGGTAAAAAAAACGCGCTCAGATCTCCATCCACACCAAGGAGTGTTTGTCTCTTGGAATTTTCAAATGCATTAATGACCGCGTGGGTATATATTCGCCTTTTCTTTTGTTGGAAAAAAAAACTACTTGACCGAGGCCAAATCCTTCTTCATATCCGAGTCTTTGATAACAGGCGTGCAAATCCTATTTAATTGTCACTTCCTCGGGAGACAGATAAGTTGGCTCCGAGTGATAAGAAGAAATAGACCGATAGAAATGAACCCTGAACCAATACTTTTGAAAGCCACCTCTACAAGAACTGGTGCTTCCCACCGGATCCAATGACAAGTAGATGGCCATATGCCCCCCAGAAGTAACGGTTTTCACCAACACAAAAGGTTCTAGAAAATCACCCCAGTCAAAAGCAAATGAGCTGAACCAAGATACTTATGAACGAAAGGAGAACCCTCGTGAAGGTTTCCAAGAACCCTAATGAAGGTTTTCAGACTTGTACCCGACGCAAAGCTGGAACGCCATCATGAAGGCCAAAGCTCCAAGATGAAGCTACGAGGAGGCAACTTTTAAATGATTTATTACGACCACCTCAAAATCAGAGAAGGGCGGGCGTATCCCCATTCTGGTGAAAAGACACCCGTACAAGGGAATTCAACAACCTTCTAAAGATCCACATAACCTCTCATTCGGACCTACTGGTAGAATCTCTCAATCCGGGGAATTTCCAACCATGATGTTGGTCTGGGTTACAACTTTGAAGATGTTCAAAATAGAAGAAAACCCAACTATTTTAGTGGCCACCCAATAATACCTATTCGCATTGGTCGAGTTTATTAATTGAAGATCCTTATGGGCTAATAATTCAACTATATGACAATCACCAGGATTGACCCAAGGCACAACATTATGTCGCCCTTGACACTCTATATGAAGAGAAATTTCGGCGTCACCAGGGTCATGACCAGTTGACTCCCAGTGTGTTTTGACAAAGTGCCTAGCATGTTTTCTTCTTTGATGAGAAACCTCCCTTTCTGACAGTCAAGACAGGAGAAGGCATCAGTATCTCATCAAGGTTTTCAACCCCTTTAGGAGAGAGAGAGAGAGAGAGAGAGAGAGAGAGAGAGAGAGAGAGAGAGAGAGAGAGAGAGAGAGAGAGAGAGAGAGAGAGAGAGAGAGAGAGAGAGAGAGAGAGAGAGAGAGAGAGAGAGAGAGAGAGAGAGAGAGAGAGAGAGAGAGAGAGAGAGAGAGAGAGAGAGAGAGAGAGAGAGAGAGAGAGAGAGAGAGAGAGAGAGAGAGAGAGAGAGAGAGAGAGAGAGAGAGAGAGAGAAAGAGACAGAGAGAGAGAGATTCTCAATACGACTCATCCACCCTTAGATAGTTAGTCAAAATGATGATTCTTGGTTTAAAACCCCCACTGACAGAGGAGAAGGAATGAGATTCCGACTATATTCTCTTTTTTGAAGACAAAGAAACATTACCCTTCAAGTCACTCTCGACAATAATAGGGATACCACTCATCATAATAAAACGCGATAAAAATTTGAATAAAATCTTAGGATAAGAGAAGATACCTTGAAATATGAGGGTGAAAATGTTGAAATAAGGAAGGGAGTTGAAAAGTCAAAGCTTTAATGCTTTAAAATTGTGAACGTGTCACTACAGCTACTTTGGAAAGCCAATGCTCTCATATAAGAGGGAAAAACTCAAAGAGACAAAGGAAACTCAGTCTACAAGATGGCTAAAAGTTTCTCCACGATCTCTCTCAATCTTTATATATGTGTAGGCAATCGAACATATCAAGTCGAAGTCGAAACGAGAAAGTAAGGGCAACTCAACTATCAAATTTCATATGGAAAAGACAACCATACTCAATTGTAGTCGAGTACACGGAAAGTTGTGTCACGTTACCACACATTTTTTAGGTCACACGTCAAAGAAAAAACTCCGAACCGTTTTATTAATGGGGTTGAATTTAACACTCACGTCCACATCACACTTTGGTAAAACCCAAGCGATGCATACTAGCCAGCTCTGGACAAACATTCTTTAAGGCGGATCGCTACTACTTAAATACTCTCACAACATCAAACATGTCCTAATAGTTACAACTATTCTATGTCGACCAAAGTCCTGAGACCCATTACTTCAAGCCGACCAAAGGCCCAACAGCACGAGGCTCATTATCTAGCCTACTCCATTAGGCCCAAGGTATAAATACCTCTGTAAAAGGATTCTCATGTACACAATCTTTAATATCCACTTTCACTTTCACTATATTAAACCTTAAACTGACTTGGGAGTAGGAGCGCTAACAACACAGGTACCTCCCCCCCGAGTCCACTGTATCAGAGATAGAAACACCGATTAATAGTATCACATCAAGACTGATCTCTCTGGTTTAAGAAGCATCATGATCACAACCTTTGATCCAGGGTCTTGCATCAACGTAGTACATCAGAAGCTTTATTTCAATGTAGTTTTGGAAATCATCACCATTTTTGGTTCTACAACGAAACATGATCCAAGACGGTGAAGCTTATAGCTAGCAAAATAAGAAAGTTAACCAGTAGTTGCTTAGTTTTTATGAAGATTACACTAAAGTCATACATGTGTTGAAGATAGCTCAAACAATCAAAGATGCATAAGATGGTTGATCAAGTTAACCTTTTGAATCAAGTTAAAGACATCTATTTAAAGTCAACATTGTATTCTAGTGACTTTCAAGTGAAGACTTTGGTTTTAAGAATCATCGGTGACTTGACTTCTCAACTCTCAAAGGATGGTAATCAACATGGAGGTATCTCAAACATCATCAAGAAGACTCAAGGCTCTAGTATTATGCTAAAATCAAAGGTAATGATGCAAGGACTTGAAACCTCAGAGTTATGAAATAGAGGAAGTGTGAAATCTTACTTAGCCTAATCAATTAGAGCATTGATTTGGTCCATGGTGAAAAAACTCACTTTTTATTTCTCCCATCACCTTTCTAAATCTCTCATATTTTCTCACATTTCTTAACCATAGTGATTCGAGAAGGTTCTTGAGTCTTAGTGAGAATATTTTATCTTGGTAAAGTTGTAAACTTACTAAGAGTATATTTTTATCTTGAGTAAATAATTATTCCATAGGAAATCATTATTTTGGATGCAATCTAAACTAGTTAAAACGTCTTGCATTTTATGGGGATTGTCTCTCTGTTTGGTTTGTGAGTTTCACCATTGAAAAAAAATCTCTATTTTAGTTCGTCAAGATCATACATTAAAAATCTACACAATGTTAATTGAGTTCATCCCTATTAAAATCTCTATTCGTTCGAGATTAACCCGATTAAAATCTGTATTAGTTTTTGAGTTTATCATGGTGTAAAAACTTAGTATGTTTGAGATTAGTTCGGTAAAAATCTTGGTTCACTTTTTGGTCCACTTGCGTAAAACCCCAATTGAGTTTGGAGGATAACCAA